TTAGGGCAGACTAGAGACATTAAAAGGAGCCCTCCTGGTACAGTGGTTAAGCAGTCAACTGCTAACTGGAAGATCAGCGGCTCAAACGCACCAGCTGCTCCAAGGGGGAAAGACGGATGATCTGGGCAACCTGCTTCAATAAACATTTACAACCTTGGAAACCCTAGGGGGCAGTTCTGTCTACTTTGTCCTATGGGGTCAATATAAATCAGCATTGACTTGCTGGCAGTGAGAGAGACGATAAAAATCTCATTAATCCAGAGCTATTAATGTGCAGTCCTTGGATCTCTGATATTTTCAAGGGTTTGTCTTTACCCCACTGGAGAGATGAGTTGTTTTGTTTGTTGTTAAAAATAGAGAAAACCTCTTTGTACTCAGCAATTGCTTCAGGGCCAATCATATTTCGTTAGTAACTCCATTCACTATTTTTTTTAAAATGTAAATAATTAATTAGATTCTCAAAGAGATGTGAAAGTTAAAAACTTCCCTTTTAGCATCTGAGTTCAGAAAGTGAGATTGTAGCCTACTGGATTATAATTTTACTTCCTGATCATGGTTATTTTATTTCAAATGTTAAAAATGATATGCTTCTTACTGTGAAAAGCTGAAATTTTCTCAAGAAGGAAATCCTTTAATATAGCACTTTATTGTTATGTAGATGATTTTTTTCCTTCAGAATACATGCACTTTTTTTGGCTTTTTTTACTGTAGGTGGCAGTAGTACATAGGCTGTGTTGCTTGAGGGCAGAAAATCTCCAGAATGAGGTTGGGTTGCTCTGATTTTCACAGCTAACCATCATCTGTTGTCAGAGAATTCATGCGATTACATTTGTATTAAAAGTGTCTTTGTTGTTGTTTAGGAGGGAACTCTGAAATGTAAAGTAATTGCTGATTTTTGTTACTCAGATTCACTGAATATTAGAAGGATGTTTTAACCTGTAGTTTTCTTAAGAGATTTCAAAATTAAGGGTCAGGATTATAAAGCATGTCCAGCTCATCACCCATATAAACAAAATTTCCTGTACTCAGTGGTTGTTCAAATCCTTTGACTTTCCTTTGTTTTCATCTCTTCAGGCTCATTGCCAGTATATTTGCTTAGGAGCTCAGTGCATCTCAGATGGACTTCTGACTTGTTCTTTCAATTAAAGTTTATTATCCCTCCAATCTGTTCATTCAGGAAATGTATATTAAGGGCAAACTATGGACCAGAGCCTGTGCTAGGAGAAAGGAACATGGTGCTGCTAGAAAGTAACTCTCAGATCAGCAAGGACTATCAACTAACAATCTGATGTTGAGAAAGATAATAAACACGTAGACAGTAGAACAGTTCATTTCCTTAGTCATTTTCCATAGAAATATCCCATTTTTCTCTAGCCCCTTCTTTCTTTACTTTACCCTTTAAATCAGGTGAAAATGATAAGCTTGTAGGCTACTAAGAACAAGGAGATGCAAAAAAGGATTCATTGATTTAGAATATTGCATAGATAGTACAGTCTGTTTCAAGGGTAAATTAGAATGCTTAGGATTGCTCTTTGGAGACCCTAGTCTAGGGATAAAGTAGACCAGACTGATCAGATATTCAAGCTGTCAGTACCCAAGATCAGCATAAGAGACCAATTGGATGTGTGATGGATGTAGTGATCGGTGAGAACTTTACTGTTTATGGTATATTTTCTTACTCAATTTTATGTAATCTCTTCTAGCATATAGTGAACAAAGAAACCACTTTGTTCACCTATCCCAAAATTGGCATAAGGCTAAGCACAAACAACTATTCTTAAATATTTAATAAATGACTAAATACTGATTGAACTTTAGTAACTAAGTCTAAACTGTTTTTATAATTCAGAGGTTATTACTAGACTGTTTCCTTCACATTGCAAATGAAATGGTATTTGAGTCCTTCCTTTGATTATATGTGAAACAAGTTAACAGCTAACTTAATAGGCTTAATACATTAGGGTTGAACAAATGATTGAATTTAGACTCTGGCTGCAGAAACATGTTACAGGCCCTTAGGAAAAAAAGAGTGAATTCACACTTTGGCATGGTTAAGGCAGAAATAAAAATGATTTCTTTGGTTTTAAGAGCTATTTTTTCTTTAAAATTTTATGTAGCTCATACAGATACTCTTATCTCTTAATTGGGACTTTTAAAAAAAAACAAAACGCTTTACTATTGTGGAAGATTTTGACCCTATTCAAAAATAGAGAAAACCTCTGTGTACTCAGCAGTTGCTTCAGGGCCAATCTTATTTCGTTAGTAACTCCATTCACTATATGTTTTTTTTTTTTAATGTAAATACTTTTAACAACATCGCTGGCTGCCAAATCGGTAATTTGTATTATTATAAACATCTCTGGAGGAGCTCTGTGGTAGCATAGTGCCTAAGGCACTTGACAGCTAACCAGAAGGTTGGCGGTTCAAACCTACCAGCCACTCCTGGGAAGGAAAGTTAGGCAATCTACTTCCGTAGTGATACCACCTCAAAAACCCAAGGAGGGGTCGCTATGAGTCGGGTCTGACTTGAGGGCACATAGCAACAACAAACATCTTTGGAAAAAAAACATGTTCTGTTCACTAATGAAAATTATAAGAAGACGTGGAAAGTTTGGTAACACATATCAAGGATCCTTTTTCAAAAGTCTGTACTCATAGTTCCATTTTGTTCCCTTTCTGGAGTCTGTACTTAGGAAATAAAAATATAGGCCAAGATCAGTGCACAAAGTGAGTGTAACAATAAGGAAATAATAAATCCACATGGTGGAGTATTTTATGATCTTAAATGTCTTAAAGAATAATGACATGAGGAAATGTTCTTGAAATATTTGCATCTTATTATAGATTATATACACTTTATACAGTAATCCAAAGTACATAGTGTCTTTGTGTATATAATGGACTGGGAAAGTCTGATTTGCTGTTACCTTTGTTCCAGTAAATCAAGCTCTGCTGCATTTGGGTTCCATAATTTGAAAGAAAGCTTTCCGTTTTCCTGATTTTTGAAATATTGCCAGTGGCCAACTTAATCCTTCCAAATTGTTCTTCACCTGCCGTAACCTGCATTGTGACCTCATTTAGATGTCAGTATTCAGGATATTTGTGCTTCAGGATCCTAGGATGTAAGCGAATCATAGGTATTGCTGATGTTAAGTGCATTTTAAGCAGCAGGATTTCCTCTTTGTGTGTAAATTAACAATCAACATTATTTTTTGCCTGTAGCCTTTTCCCAATAGCTAAGAGTATTATTTTCTTTTTTCCTAACTTTACAGATTATAAGCACACCACAGAGACTAACCAGTTCAGGAAGTGTTCTGATTGGGAGTCCATATACCCCTGCACCAGCAATGGTTACTCAGACACACATACCAGAGGCTGCTGGCTGGGTCCCAGGGTAAGACCGTAGTAATTTACTATTTCTAAAAACTTTTAAAGTTATTCCTTTTTTTTTGTTCTCACCATCTTGTCTTCCATTCTTGTTTTGCATTAACCTTAAAAATCAAATAAACAGATAAATGAGTTCCTATCGAGTCATCTCTGACTCATGGCCACCCTGTGTGTGTCAAAGTAGAATTGTACTCTGAAGGGTACTTATAGAAATAGATTGCCAGGCTTTTCTTCCAAGACACTGCTTAGTGGACTTGAACCTTCAACCTTTTAGTTAGCTAAGTGTATTAACTGGCTCCTATGTTAGTCTAGTTCTTAAACACTAATGTGTTTTCTTTAAAGACACATTTTATTTTACTTTACATTTTAGATATCAATCATTTCTGGAGCAACCATTTTGAGATAAATTTTAACTAAATCTTCTGACTTTTTTCAACCCTGAAATGAGACTACTTGCTATGATTACAACTTTCAGTTGCTTTGGAGATGTAAAAACTATTTTATTATTTTAAAGCACATAAGAAACATGTTAATTATTACTGTAATCAGAATTTTCCCTATGAATTCTTATATCCTTAAAAACCAAGAAAAGAAGTAGTTAAAAGAGGCCAAACATATTAAAAATCTCACTGTTTTCCCTTGATTCTTTTAAACACTGGACAAATTAAATCAGTTACTCCTATGTTACTTACTTGCAACTTTTAGCATCATAGTTTTACATTTTTCATCTTTGCATATCAAATATTCTTACCCAACCTTTCTCCATGTCTTGTAATTTTAGTGCTTTATCTTTCCATAAAGGGGAGGAAGAAAAATTGTAAGGCAAATGGTTCAGAACCTCATTTTGTCTTCAATTTGAAATTATTTCCCTGGTGACATACTGTACGGGTAGTTCTATCATTGACTTACACCTGTAACTTCTAGCAAGCAGACAATAAATCCTGGCTGAGTAAGCATCTCCTTGCTTAAAGGTTATTAAGTGAATTAAGAAATAACAAATTAATTAACTAATCCTGGCAAAGTGCTTTAATCCATATAAACACAAGAGAGGCAGAAGAATTTGATATGTATATACACATACTTTTCCATTATCAAATATGAGGAAGTGACAAGATCACCTATAATTCTGTGGCCTTTGTTCAGTTCTTATAAAAATTCTCATCTACATTTAGAAGATAGATTTCAGCATAGCCTTAAAAGCCTTGAAAGAAAATGTGAGAGTCAAACCTGTGCCTGTAGTGTTGGCCCAAAGTGACCAGAGTTTGGGTATTTTTCAGTCCTGATTGTGCTTTATATTGGGAGTGGCATGATTACCTAGTATTTTGTAATCAGTCATTCCAGAGGGAACAGAATTCTTCTCTCTCTTCTCCTTTGTAAATCTGCAGTGTTTTCCTCTCTGAAGATTCGTTATGCTCATTTTAACCTATGACAATATTGTATTGTGATTTCTTGGCCCCGTGATAAAATTTTTACTTTATATATGTATCTCTTATATTTGTTAGTTGTTGTGTTTGGATACAATCAGTATGGAAAGACAAATTATAATAAATTATTCATGAAAGAAAATTGTGTTTATATATGTGTTCTTTTTATGCTATCTTTTTTCTTTTTAGTGATAGAAAACGGGCTAGAGAATTTATAGACTCTGATTTTTCAGAAAGGTGAGTGTAAGTGTAAGTAAATATTTTATTTGGGAGATTCTAGTGTGTGAAGGGAGTTTGATGCCTAGACTATAGTCTAGTTTAACCCTTTCATGACCCATGGGACATACAGCACTCACCTACATTTTTCCACCTCTGGGGTTTATTGAGCAGCCGCTTTCCCACTGACAGTACATGCAGCCATAACTGTTTGAAAGGAAGAAATGTGCTATAGATGATTATTTTTACAGGGTATTGTATGAGGTGATGCATCCTGGAGGTGTGATTTTGTAAAACTTTTCTCTTTTGGGGCTTTTTTACTGGGAGATAAGCCTTGTAAGTATATTTCTGGGTTCCTGTGCATTATTTGGAAGTTACCTTTCTCACAGTGATTCCATGGTCCCACAAATGCCGCATTGTCAGGAGTCCTAAATTGTATGCATCTGTCAAGTGAAGGTTGGAGCAGTATCCCACTACTCCTGCCCTTCAAGTCCAGAGGTATATACATGTCCTACATGATTTAACTCCCAGAGTTCAGAGGTACTGGGTGTTGCACATAATAATGTATGAAAATCTGTTTCATAACAGAATTTCAGAAATGCTCCTTGTTTCAGCATGCCTTGTATTAATGAAGACATATGGTGTCAACAAAAATTTCACAACAGAAAATAATTGGGTCATGAAAGGGTTAAGTAATGAGTTTTCTTGCCTTAGAATATTAGGACTGTGATTCTCAATTCTGGATGTCGATCAGAATCAACTGTGGTCTGTTAAATAACATAAATGCCTACCAAGTCAGAAACCGCAGTGTTAAAAACTATGGACTTAGGGTCATTATGTAAACTTAGGTTCAATATTCTTTGTAGTCCCCCAAGGAGCCATATCAGTGCTGCACTGTGTAAATAACGAGATTGCTCAGGGGCAGTTGAGCTCTCTTAGATTGTCCCTAGTGTAAATATAACTTTGTCATCTGTGCATTTTAAATTTATTTTTCATTTTAAGATTTTGTCATTTCTTTTCTTCCTTTCTTTTTTTAAATAGTGTTTTAGTCTCTTTCCTCCTGTCAGGTGATCTGTTCTCAATAAAGTAGTTTTTTGTCTTCCATATTTTCTGATTTGCCATCTCTGGTTTGCTGTGCAAACTAGATGGCCAAGTGTGCTAGAATTTTGTCTAAAATAAAAATGAATAGCCTCAGGATGAAGACTTTGAGTGTATAAATAAAGAATGTGTGTTTTCTTGCACTGACACTAGCACTGCTTTTGTTCCTTGATGGCCTTTATTCTTTGCCTCTTGCGTCTTAACTGTTTAAATTGTTTTGAACAGATAAAATCATGCTAAGAAACTGAAATATATGATGAAATGTTCTTTTCTCTCTTATGGAAATTCCTTTTTTAATTTAAGCTCACTGGTATCTCTTTTCATTTATCCTTGTAAATAGCAGTTCTTATAGACGTACTTAGCAATGTTCGAACCTCTGTTAAAATGGGATGTTGGGATTGGTGGGACCATTGTGCCACCAGTATAGATGATTGTAAAGGAAACAAAATTCTTTTCACTCTTTCAGAAGAGAACAAACTGTAAAGATCACATGTAAAAGTGCTAATAGGTTAAATGTGTTGGTATAGCCACTACTTTGACTTTTCCTTTTTCGTTTGGTTCAATAGCTTTTTTTCCTAGTGGTTTTCACGATCTTCTGTTTATTTTCTGATATAACTTTTCTGTAATGGACCATTTCCCCATCAAACCACAAAGATTGTTATATGTCTTTTTTTATTATTATTATTTCTGTTCTAAATGAGCACATTGGTGCTTCGTTCTTCCTTTATGCTCTTTTAACCTTACTCTCTCTCTTTTTCCCTTCCCTATTGGAATGGAAGGAGTTCTGGTGATGCCTAAGGCATTTGACTGCTAACCAGAAAGTTAGCAGTTCAAACCCACCAGCCATTCTGGGGAAGGAAGATAAGGCAATCTACTTCTGTAACAATTTACTGCCTTGGAAACCCAATGGGGGTCACTCTGAGTCAGAATCAAATCAATGGCAGTGGGTTTTTTTTTTTTTAATTGGAAGAAAGTTAAAACTCAGTTTATTTATATATACTATGACTAAGGCGGGAGCTCTGGTAGCATAGTGGCTAAAGCACTTGACTGCTAACCAGAAGGCTGGCGGTTCAAACCCACCAGCCACTCCTCGGAAGGAAGGTTGGGCAATCCTACTTCCGTAGTGATACTGCCTCGGAAACCCAAGGAGGGGTCGCTATGAGTCGGGGCCGACTCGACAGCACATAACAACAACAACAACATGACTAAGGCATCGGAAGGAAGATGGGGCAATCTACTTCCGTAGTGATACTGCCTTGGAAACCCAAGGAGGGGTCGCTATGACTCGGGTGCAACTCAATGGCAAATAACAACAACAACATGACTAAAGCTAATCAAAATCTGTACAATTTATATTTGTGTATTGTTACAGTGATGTTTATGAAGTCCTTCATTCATTCAACAAATACATGTTGAGTATCTCCTAAGTGTTGTATGTTCTAGGTACCAGAGATAATAATAAAGTAGCCCTTGAGCAGTTTATGTTTCTAGGGAAGATAATAAACAAATAATTAGAGATTATGACAGGTGCTATGCAAGATAAGAAAAGGGTGATAGGTAGAGAGTATTGGAAGGGTGGTAGCTATGTCTGGGACTGACTGTCTAAGGAGGTGACATTTGAGTTGAGATTAAAGAATGTCAAGAAGCCAGGCAAATAAGTAGCCAGGGCTGGGTGGGGTGGGGGAAGGTTCCAGGCAAAGAGGACAGCAGATGCAAAGCTGCTCAGTGAGGAATTAGCTTTATGTACTTGGAGTAGTATAATGGACTAGGGATAGTGATAAAGGCAAAGAGTGATATGAGGTGAGGACGGAAAGGCAGGCCAGGGTCGCATCATGAAAGACCTTGTAAAGTCATGAGGGAGTTTGGTTTTTGATCTAAGGAGGGTTTTAAGCAGGGAAATGACATGATCTAATTTACACAAGCTACTGGGTAGATAGTGGATTCTAAGAAGTGAATAGTGAAGCAGGGAGATCAGGCGTCTGTGGGAGGGAGCAGTGACCAGGCAGTAGACATGGTAAACAGTAGATACATTTTGGAGGTCAAACCTACAGAATTTATTGATAAATTGAATGAAGAAGAGGGGGAAATTAAGGATGATTTTTCAGTTTTTTTGGGCATGAACAGTTGGGTGATTGGTGATGCCATCACTTTGATGATAATTAGGAGTGAGCTTTATTGCACACACATGAAGTTTGAAAAGCTGTATTAGTTATCCAAGTGGTGATGTCATGAGCATATAGATAGCATCATTAAACATTAAAATGGTCAAAGGCTACATACAGGGAGGGAGACAGTGAAGGTCTATTAACCAATGAACATTTTCTGTGTATTTCAACCACATTTCCTATAGATACATAAGTTAAAAAAAAAAATAAACTGATTGAGTTCAAAAGAATAACATAGTATTTGACTGCACTCTGATTTAATAAACAATTTGCAAATTTTGGCAGCATTCTCCCCTGCAAGTAGAAAAGCATGCCTGAGGACTGCAGATTTTACAGAGGCTTCGACATAAGTTATAATTTTTTACTTAATGAATATGCATTTCCATGGTGTCAAAGTACTTAATGGTTATTGAGTTAGCATTACAGAGTTAACCTAAAAATTTGACCTTTTAATATACCTATGAGACCTCTTGAAATTAAAATTAAGGAGGCACACAGTCATTTTCATTCTGTCATGAGGTAATAGATTTCTTATTGGCTGCTCTCTTCAAGTCAGTTTTGAGTTGACAAAACAAGCTAGCAAAGCTGCAGGCAAGATTAGTTTTGGGTCAGGTATTTTTAGGCTTGCTGTCTAAGTTATCTAGTGCTGGTATAGCAGAAATACCAGAAGTGGATGGCTTGAACAAACAAATTCATTTTTGCAGTTTAGGAGGCTGGAAGTCCAAATTCAGGGCACCAGATCTAGGGGAAGTTTTTCTCTCTGGCTCTGGAGGAAGGTCCTTGTCTCTTCAGCTTTTGTTCCCTGGTTCTGTGAAGATCTCCATGTGGTGTGGCATCTCTCTTTCCTGGTCTTTGCTTGCTCCCTTGCTTGTTTAATCGCTTTTATATCTCCATGAGTTTAGCTTAAAACACAGTCTAGACAAATGCTGTCTCATTATCATGACAAAGGCAACCCATTCCCAACAGGAATTATAACCACAGGCATGTTGTTGTTGTTGTTGTTGTTGTTGTTGTTGTTATGTGCCGTCATGTTGACCCCGACTCATAGTGACCCCTCCTTGGGTTTCTGAGGCAGTATCACTATGGAAGTAGGATTGCCCAACCTTCCTTCCGAGGAGTGGCTGGTGGGT